CTATTAATACTTGTATTTATTAACCAAGCAAATAAATACACAAATTTTTCTCTGAATGTGAAGATTTATAAATAAAATTTAACATTCTAAGTTATGTAAAATATCAATAAGTAGGGTACTATGTCTCAAAACTGGACTCAAATACATACAATTTGTAGGACGAATCAAATTCATAATAAATATGTATATGAAATTCTTCTATTTTATTTTTAAAAAGTATTTTACTAAAATTCATAAAACAGCACTAAAATTTATTTTATAGTAGTATAGCACACATTTGGACAAACTTTCTAAAAGTTAAATGTTATAAAAAGACTCATTGGTGCATTTTATTTTATGTAGTGAACAGATTGTCAAATGCAAACATTTTTATTGTAGCTATCATAATTCAAAGAAGAATGTTACATATTATCTAACTACATAAAGGATTAGTAATAAAATGGCATTTTGAAGACCTGGAAAACAGTATTGTATCACTTCTGTGACTATTGTAAGGAATGTATTGAATTAGTGTTTAATACAAAAAATTTTAAATGATTTTAATGGTGCTGGTAGAAACTGATAATGCATGCCTAATACACAATTATTATATTAACTAGAGGCCTAGTGCACAAAAATTTGTGCACTGGTGGGGGGGGGTGTCCCTCAGCTCGACCTGTGCCCTCTCACAGTCTGGGACCTCTCCAGAGATAACCACCTGGTGGCTTAGGCCTGCTCCTTGGGTGGCAGATGGCAGGCCCGGATCCCACGCTGGGTCACAGATGGCAGGCCCTCTGCCGCACCGCCCCGCCCTGCTGCTGGCCACACATGGCAGGCCTGCCAGCCGCTGGGCCACTCACACGGACAGCAGGCCTGGCGGGCAGCGGGGCAGGTGGATCACATGGTGCTGCCCCACCTGCAGTATGCAAATTTAATGGCCATCTTTGTTGGGTTCATTTGCATACTCTTCTGATTGGCTGATGGGCATAGCGAAGGTGCGGTCAATTAACATCTTTGTCTTTTATTAGTGTAGATAATAATATTTAGTAATTTCTAGCACTTGTGTAGTGCTTGCTAAGTATCAGGCACTGATATAGGCATTTTACATATATTAACTCATGTAATATTGATAATAACCCTATGAGGAGGAGAATATTATTGTGTTGGTTTTATAAAAATGATAACTGAGACATAGAGAGGTTAAGTATTAAGATATTAAGTGACAGAACCAGGATATGATATGTGAGTATGTATCCTTATTCCATCATCTTGAATAAATGTCAGTGAAGATCTGTAAACCAATTTATGGACCTATATTGAGTTACTTGTGGTAAATTCATTACATTTACAGCTCCAGTCCTCCACTGAATCCACACATATTTCCATGGAATCTTGTAGAGAAAGCTCTGCTAGCCTGACAAGCCATGTGACTTGCTTTGGCCATTGAGCTTCAGCCTTGAGAGTGCTTGTGTGACTGGTTTTGTCAGAGCAGCTACACTGTATCTAATTTGTGCATTTGCTGTTACAGATTTGAGAACAGTTTCCTGACAAATATATTATAATTTAATAGATGATACATAAAAGGAGAGATTAGATAGATGATAGATAGATAGATAGATAGATAGATAGATAGATGATAGCAGGCCACTATTCTTGTTTAATTCCATTATTTCTTTGGTGGCTCTGATTTCAGGTGACAGGTAAAGGAAATAATATTTATTAAGCACATATGTTATGTTCTGGTCATTGTTAATGCATTATTTCTTTTAACTCCACAGTCCTGGGTGATTCGAGCTATTCATCTAATTTTATTTATTTATTTTTTTATTTCAAGAAGTTAAGTTCACACAGCTAGTTGGAGAATAAATAAATAAATAAATAAATAACCTGGCAAAGGGCTTGGCACAGTTTTGTTTTTTTTTCCTGTAAGGGACCAGATAGTAAATATTTTCAGCTGTATTTTTCATAATGTCTCTAGTAACTACTCAACTCTGCTGTTGTAGCACAAAAGCAATCATACACAATAAACACTTTTGAAAAATCATTTTTAATAAAAACAGGTAGCAGGATGGACTTGGCCCATTGGCTATATTTTGACAATCCCTTAAGATATCCTGACAAATTAATAACTACTAGTCTAGAATATGTCCAGTAAAATTAACTAGGTGATAAATTTCTTGAAGGTAGGCTAATTTTCTTGTATCTTCATATAAGTGGTGACACTTAACATTCTCCAGGACTTTGGATATCCTTGATAGAATATTTAAGGAAAGAATGAATGGATTCGTCAATGAAAAGTCCAAAGACATCTACCACACTTCCACATTACCGCACATTCTCTTGTGAGTAGGGCTGACACTCAGACAAAGCAGCTTGATCTAACGGGAAAAGCATGGGCTTTGTGTATGACAGAATGGCCTTGGTTTAAATCACTGATCTGCTACTTATAATTGGTACACCTTGGACAAATAATTTAGCTTTTAGTTGTAAATGGTTCATTTGTCAAAAGGAATTGATGATAGTGACATATTAGTAAGTTGAATATATTAAACAAGATATTATTAATTTTTAAAATAAGTGCTATGATAAAGGGTTGGTAATTAGGAAAAAATAGCTTTCATCTTCTTTAGTTGAGAGTCACAATTTGATTAAATTTGCAGGATCAAAAAATGAGACTAGAAAGAGTCTTAACATTAGTTAAGACCTAGCCTCCTTTCTTACCCTCCCTTCTTAAAGATTACAAAAATTAGGCAAGCAAGAAGTTGGAATTTAGTTCTGGTTTGACCATTACTACTTATGGCAAATATGTATATGAGGATTATATATGTATTTCAGTATGTTTCCTTGACTAGGGGAACTAAGTAGCCTTCAACATCTATCTATCCAATGTTAACAGTCTATGTTAAAAATTGGCTAACTGATTTCTCCCCAACCCCACTCTTCCACAGCCATACACATACAACTATGCCCACCCAGCCATATATCCATGCAATTCTAAGCATGTCCAAAACAATGTAGAGTGAGAAAGAATTTAAATTAATAACAAAATTTAAAAAAAAGAAAAGAATTTTATGAGAATATGGCATGTTAAAGAAGTAAAGTAGCCCTAACTGGTTTGGCTCAGTGGATAGAGCGTCAGGGTCCCAGGTTCGATTCTGGTCAAGGGCATGTATCTTGGTTGCGGGCACATCCCCAGTAGGGTGTGTGCAGGAGGCAGCTGATCAATGTTTCTCTTTCATCGATGTTTCTAACTCTCTATCCCTCTCCCTTCCTCTCTGTAAAAAAATCAATAAAATATATTTTTTTAAAAAAAAGAAGTAAAGTAAAACACAAGACCACAGTTTGGATTTTAAATAAGCCTGGCTTTTGTGATTACAAGAATAGAACCCCAATCATGATGATAGGATAAAGCTCTGATGTGTCAGGTTTTATTACATTGCTGACATTACTTAGCATTCCTTGTTCAGGCATTTCCTTTTGCGACCACTTAAAAAGGCCCTGCATAGGTGGAGAAAAGAACCAGTTTCAAAAACAGTCTGCCATCCTTTTCACAGTGGTTCCACCCACTCGCTCAGGCACAGCTGCAAGTTTAAGTAGGCAGGCAAACTATAATCAGCCACTTAGATCAGCCGCTCAATCACAGTTGTGCCCAATTTGCCTGTTTAACTTTTTTCTTGCTTGATTGACCTTGGATCTCTCCTTCTCCAGATGTTCCTGATGACAACATGCCATGCCATATCTTTTCGATGTTGTGAGTGCAACAGAAATAACCCACATACTTAAGAGCAAAGTCAAATGGCCAAAGTATTATAATCTTGGTATAATGTTTAATTTTGCCCTTTTTTGTATTAAAATTAATTACATCTCACAGTGCTTCATTTTAGATGCAAATTTCAATTTCAAATATGTTCGTTTACTGATAATTTTCTTGAATATATATACATATATATAAACATATTTATAATATGTAGATGTAGATACATACAAAGTAATATTTATACTATATATTATATATTTAGTTTGTGTATTTAGATATATTTAGTGTGCATATATATGTATACATAGAGTATATAGAATATATATGTGTGTATGTATATACTTATATATAGAGAGAGATAGAGTTTATAAGACTGAAAAATTCTGATATATATTTTTTATCATAAAAAGATAAAATAAAAACAAAGCAAAAGGCAACCATTTTTATGACCAGGCATTTAACTTTCCAGGAATATGGAAGACAAAGAATGTTCATTCATGCTTAGTATAAATAGTAACTCTAACCCATTTTTTACTTCCTTTCTCAAACTTTCAAATCTGAAAAATGTCCAGCATATTAACTTATAAGATATCACTTCTGAAAGAGAAAAAGAAAAAGTACTATGATAAATATAGCTACAAGGCTATATAAAATTTTAAAATTTATAACATTTTTAAAGCAATCAAGCTTTAATGTCATAGAAGGATAGATGTTAAATGGTATAAGGGGAAAGATAGGAATATAACATAGATTTACTACAAATATCAGAAATTTTGTTTTGTGTATGTACGAGAGGGGGGGAGAGGAGATACAAGACAAAGAGAGACAGAATTTTGGCTGCCCTTCATTTTACTGAAGAAACTATGTTTTATGTCTTAGAGTAATAATATGCAGTATTATATATTTAAATTAGATTACAACACTCTTTTTGATATTACATGTTTGCAATAAATTTAATCCAAATAGACATTAGTCTTCTTTTTGTTTTAGCATTAATTTTAAAATTATTTTTCCTTAAAAGTCTTCCTATCATTCTATATTTAAAAGTTAAGATGTCCATAACCAAAATTCAGGACTATTTATTAAATGCCAGGAATAAATCCTTTTGTTGACTGCTTCTCAGACATGAAAGTGCAGACTAAGGACTTGGAAACTTTATTAAAAATGAAGATTCTCATTCAGATCATCTGAGATGGTGCCTAAGATTCTGCATTTCTAACCAGCTGTCAGATGATGTTGATGCTATGATCCAACTATGGTTACAGTACTTGCTTTGGCAGCACATATACTAAAATTGGAACGATATAAGATTAACATGGCCTCTAGGCAAGGATGACATTCAAATTTGTGAAGCGTTCCATATTTAAAAAGAAAACAAACAAAAAAGAAACATTGATTAAAAAGACTATTTCAAATCAAATAATGCATTTATAATTATAATAACAATCATAATAATTTTATATAAATCTTATATCCAATGAAAATGATAGTTAATATGAAAATTAATGACCAGGTACATAAAAAATTATTGAATCTTTCCTATTTAAAATATTCGGTTCCAAATGCCATATTAATACTGAATTTTTGCAACTGTTCTAGGGATCGTTTGTCCAACATTGACATTGATTGGTTCTAAATCTGTTGATTTGTGGCAAATTTTTAGGCTTTGTAAATAATTGTAAAGTCAAATATTTCTGAAAAATTTTAAGAAAACATCCATTAAGAAACAGCTGAAGTGTTTTTAAACTGTTACAAAATCTTATGGACTGCCAATGACTTGAACTAAAAATAAAAAGCTTATTAGCATCTTAATACTAAAACTCATAAGCTGTGAATGAAAAAGCAACCAAGAAGGAAAAGAATAGGTATATTCCATTGTGAATTAGTATAAAAATCTGTATTTTGTCTTGTAATAGACAACACTTACTACAGATATTATGGGCTAGACCAGATCTGTTCTGAAAGCAAAGTGGATGTACTCCAATGAGGGATTCTAGGAAGATGATTAGCTATAAGGACATTCACGCATAATCACTCTCATTAACTCTGTGTAGAAAAAACGAAAGAGAATTGATGTAGCAGTGGAACATCTCTAACAATAAATCCTAAAATATAGGAGGTAATGGGTGCTAGATACAGGATGTCAAATATTCTAAGTGACTTAATCCTAAAACAAGTTTTCAGTAAATGATCTGGAATATACATATTTTTTCTCTATTTTTTACTCTCTGCTTTAGGCATTTTAAATAACAAACTTAAAATCTTTCTTATATATCTTTGTAGTCATTTGTCTATTCTTAGGCTATACTTGCCATGAAAAATGAGAAAATATCTGTGGTTAAATTAATCCTGTGGTGCATAAGGCCATTTGTTTTAAGGAACTCATTTTACAGATAAGAAAAAATAGTGGTGGAGTAGGAAAAAAATCAATCAATTAAAAAACCTATTGAAGACTGTATAATATATTGTAATAGTCATTGGGGAGAATTAAAGAGAATAATACTGTGAAATAAGAAGCAATACATTACTATTTCAAAGCAGTATATGTAGTGCTGAAAGAATTGTTGAGCCAGTGAGTGCTTTTCAGCAGAGTGGGTATGAGGTTATTTTTTTGTTAGGATAGCTTTGTAAACACGATTCTGTGATTCTACTTTGCACCAGTTTGCTAGAGCTGCCACAACAAAATACCTTAGACTGGGTGGCTTAAACGACAGAAATGTATTCTTACAGTTCTGTAGACTAGAAGTCCAGAAGTCCAAAATCTAGAAGTCCTGTTGGCAGGCTGTTTTCTTCTGAGAACTCCTCCCCTTGGCTCAAAGATCTGCCTTCTCACTGTGTCCTCACATGTGTATATCCAAATTTCCTCTTCTTACAAGGACTTAAGATTGAGTTAGGGCTCATTCTAACAACTTATTTTAACTTAGTCCTTTTTTCAAATGTCCTATCTCCAAAGTCACATTCCGAGGAGCTGGGAGTTATAGACTCAAGGGATGAATTTTGGGGATACAGTTTAGTCCATAACTCATTCAGAATCCTGTATCTATAAGATTCCTGGTTCAACACCCTTGCTTTACAGCTGAGGAATTAGAGGCTTCCCCCAAAGAACTGAAATTTCTTATGCAAAGTCACCAAATTAGTTAGTGGTATAGTTTAGAATAAGTCATAAATATCTTGAATTCCTGATTTTTTAAAAGTTTCACTTTACCACATGACTAATGCAAGCCTGATATGCTTCCTACAAATACGGAGTCTAGATCTTTACGTGAGGAATAAGTAGGCACAGTAATTTGGAAGGCAGAATTAATGGGTAATATCACTCTTTCTAATCCAGTTTTTCCAATTGGGTAAGCTTTTTCAGAACCAGAAAACAGTCTAATGAACACTGGGATGGACTAGTACAATCAACATCTGAACCTGAATTGGGTATAATGGCCATTAATTCTAACTTGCTGGTCTAAGAGTAAGTCCACAGTTCTATGATTCCTGAGGTTTGACTCTTGCCATGTTCAATGAATTATTCTTAACAGAGCTGACTGACTTTCATGAAGATTTTAAAGTAAACATGTACTTGTGAAGATTTTTTGTTGTTATTTTGGGCAGCAACGTGTGGTAGATGATATCACATATAAAGTATTTGAGAAAACTCTATTTAAAAGGCTAAAATGTTACTAACTTGAAAGATAAAATAGGTATATTAAATATTTTTTAAAAGATGGAAATTTCTTAATGTATAAACCAATTTAAATTTTTCTCAATAGCAAATACTTTCTTTTCCCAATAATTTATAGACTTTTTGAATTATTAATATCTGATTAAATTTTATTCAATTTTAGTTCAGTTGTGCAAACACAAAGATCAATGGAATTTTATAAAAATTTGAAAAGCTAGTAAGCAAGTAAACTAAAATACAAAATGCTATCAAATGAACCAAGAATAAACATATTTAAATTAATTATGCCAAAATGAGTCTCAGTTGTAAAAATGCTCCATACAAAAGGAAAGAAAGAAAGAAAGAAAGAAAGAAAGAAAGAAAGAAAGAAAGAGGTAAAAGATTGCATTTATTTTTGTTAGTCCTCTTTAAATTATGACAAAGGATATGTCACCAACCCCCTGATACCATTTCCTGAATTTGAGTTAGCAAACTTACATTAAAAGAATGCTTTCAAGTACTGGGTAAAGTTTAAAATGACAGCCTTTTCTTTTCAGACTCATGAACTCTAAGATATATATTTATCCTATACTAGAGGCTCAGTGCATGAAATTAGTGCACTGGAGTGGTTGTCCCTCAGCCCAGACTGCATCCTCTCCAATCTAGGACCCCTCAGGGGATGTCCAAATGCTGGCAGTTGGACATCCCTCTCACAATCCGAGACTGCTGGCTCCTAACTGCTCACCTGCCTGCTTGCCTGATCACCCCCTAACCACTCCTTTGCCAGCCTGATTGATGCCTAACTGCTCCCCTGCCAGCCTGATTGCTCCCAACTGCCCTCCCCTGCAAGCCCAGTCTCCCCCAACTATCCTCCCCTGCTGGCTGGCCTGGTCACCCCTATCTGCCCTCCCCTGCTGGCCTGCTCGCCCACAACTTCCCTCCACTGCCAGCCATCTTGTGGCGGCCATCTTGTGACCACATGGGGGCGGCCATCTAGTGTGCAAGGGCGTGATGGTCAATTTGTATATTACTTCATTATTATATAGGACTAGAGACCCGGTGCATGAAACTTATGCATGGGTAGGGTCCCTACGCCTGGCCAGCGATGAAGGCCGATCAGGTTCCCTGCCTCTCCGCCTCCCCGCCTCCCCGCCTCCTCCTTCTCTTGCTCCTTCAGTGCCCTGCCTCCACCGCTGGTTGCCTGCCATGTTCTTCACTGCCCCCTGGTGGTCAGCGCATGTCTTAGTGAGCAATCGAACTCCTGGGCTCCCAGTTGAACTCCTGAGGGACAATTTGCATATCAGCCTTTCATTATAGAGGACTAGTGGCCTGGTGCACGAAATTTGTGCACAGGGGGGGGGGTTCCCTCAGCCAAGCCTGTACCCTCTCCAATTGGGGACCCCTTGGGGGGTGTCCAACTGCCAGTTTAGGCCCGATCCTGTGGGATCGGGCCTAAACCAGAAGTCGAACATCCCTCTTGCAATCTGGGAATCGTTGGCTCCTAACTGCTCACCTGCCTGATTGACCCTAACCCCTCTGCCTGCCTTCCTGATCACCCCTAACTGCCCTATCCTGCCAGCTTAATCTTGGCCCCAACTGCTCTCCCCTGCCAGCCTGATCACCCCTAACTTCCCTTCCCTGCCAGCCTGATCTCGCCCCTAACTGGCTTCCCCTCTAGGCCTGATATCACCCCCAACTGCCCTCCCCTGCTGGCCAATTTGGTTCTGATTGGTCGGTTTCTATGCCAGTCAGCATCAAAAGTTCCACCTCCTAGGCAGCTATTGGCTCCTCACAGTTCACCCAGATTTGGTTCTGATTGGTCAGTTTCTATGCCAGTCAACATCTCCGGGCCTATCTCTGGGCCTTAGAGGTGGGGCTGATAAGCCGCCCCTGCAGAAGCTCAGAGAGAAACCAAGGCACAGCTGCTGGCAAAGCCCTGAGAGAAAGAGAGAGGCAACAGCTGATCAACAGACCCTGCCTCTCTTTCCGGGCCTGATCCGCAGCCCCCTCGGCAGTCAGTGCTGGGTCAGCACACAACCCATCACTGACTGCAGGACTGACTTCTGGTGTTCTGTCGAGCCTTTGGTGAGTTGTTACGGACCCTGGGTTTTTATATATATAAGGATAGGCCTGGGTACTTTGAGTCTGTCCCATCTGTGATGAAGAACCCAACATGCAATCACAAGCTGCTTCTCCTGATGAAATTATCTTTCCATCACTTCCCTAGAATGTAATCTGGAAGTTTAAAGCATTGTGTTGGGAAAATATTTGTTTATTGTAAAAGGCAAATACAACATATGGTCAAGATTAGTCTGTATATCTGCTCTGCCCAGCTTGCCAAAAGTTAATATAGGTTATTATAGCTACTCCTCTTCCCCACTTGCATCGTTTTTACAGTGACTCTATTAGTTTACTTATCTATTTATATAAAAAGCCAGTGACCGAAAAGCCATAACCACCAGAATGACTGGTCACTATGAAGCCCACTGCGGCCAGAGAACCAGCCTGATCTGCGGTGGAGCCAGCTGGCCTACCTCCCGCAGCCCCTCGCTCCATCTGGCCCCACCCCCAATCAGCCCCTCCACCCCAATCGGGGGCAGGACCCACCGGGTCAACCCCCACCGTCTCCTCCTCCCAACAGTCCCGGCTCTGATCCACCCCAATTGGGGCCCAGTGGCCGGACCCCTCCTGTGCACTAATTCGTGCACTGGGCCTCTA